TAGAAAACCAGATTGGTCATTATGGGTAAGATATAAAGTTAAAACAGATTTAAATAGCAGTACTGACAAGGTGAGTAATCACCAGTCTGTAACCGAAGGGATCAAATCCTTAGTGAGTTAAGAATCTGGAAGGAGGCCAAGGACTACTGAGGCAGGTCGCATCTGAGCATAAGCCGAGAGTGAATCTCTAGTTTAGTTAGATTAGCAATAGTTACAGATAGATATATATAATTCTTAAATAGCTTAATCTCAAATAAACAGAGACAGGATTGTCTAATTAAAAAAAAAAAGATTTTGCATAATTTTATTAATAAAATTATAGAAATATTAAATTACTCGAAATTTCACTAATTAATAGTACTTTAGTATTATAAGTGAACTTGTTCAGTATATAAGAATACACTATAATGATATATTTAATTTTATCTTTTTTAAATTTTAAGCAAAGTTGCTTAATTTTAAAATTTTTGATCAAAAATTCCAAAATTAAACATTTTCTCTTCAAAAATAAAGATAAATATGCTGTTATAATATATTTTTGTGTACTAAACAAGTTCATTTATAATACTAATATTAATTAGTAAAATTTTAAGTAATTTAGTAATTTTCATAATTTTATTAGTAAATTATACAAAATACCAAATTACTCAAAATTTTACTAATGAATAGTGTTTTAATATTATAAGTAAACTTATTAAACATATAAAAATATATTATAATGGCCTGTTTTATTTTATTTTTCTTCTTAATTTTGAAATTTTTAATCAAAAATTCCAAAATTAAGCATCTTTTAAAAAATGAAGAAAGGCAAAAGTAAATATATTATCATGATGTATTTTTATGTGTTGAACAAATTCACTTATTATATTAAAGCATTATTTATTAATAGAATTTTAAGTAATTTAAGATTTTATATAATTTTATTAATAAAATTATACAAAATATTAAATTACTCAACCTTTTACTAATTAATAATGTTTTAGTATTATATGTGAACTTATTTAGTATATAAAAATATATTATAACAGTCTATTTTATTTTATCTTTCTTCAATTTTAACATATCGGCGAATTTTTGAAATTTACTATTAAAATTCCAATAATATTTAACTGTGAATAGCTTTTGATCCACTGGTCCGTTTTCGATGAAACAATTACCAAAATGTTTGTCTCGATGAGACAATTCTAATAGATCCAAAATTGTCAAAATATAACCACAGAATCCTGATATCGTTAATGATTCGCTTCACTTCAGATGTTTTAGAATTGGTTTAACCAATCCTAAAACACCCAAAGTGACGCAAATCTCTATCAACCTCAGGATCCTGTGATTGGATTTTGACAATTTTGGATCCATTAGAATTGTCTCATCGAGACGAACATTTTGGTAATTGTTTCATCGAAAACAGGCCAGTGGATCAAAAATTATTCACAATTAAATATTATTAGAATTTTAATAGTAAATTCCAAAAATCCACCGATATGAAACAAAGATGCTTAATTTTAAAATTTTTGATCAAAAATTTTAAATTAAGTATTTTCTCTTCAAAATAAAGATAAATATGCTATTATGATATATTTTTGAGTACTAAACAAGTTCACATATAATACTAAAGCACTATTTATTAGCAATTTTTTGAGTAATTTAATATTTTGTATGATTTTACTAATAAAATTATAAAAATGACTAAATTACTCAAAAGTTTACTAATTAATAGTGCTTTAGTATCATAAGTGAACTTGTTCAGTATACAAAAATATATCATAATAGCATATTTATCTTTATTTTTGAAGAGAAAATGCTTAATTTTAAAAATTTTAATCAAAAATTTTAAAATTAAGCATCTTTGCTTTAAAATTGAAGAAAGATAAAAATAAAATAGGCTATTATAATGTATTTTTATATGCTGAATAAGTTCACTTATGATACTAGAGCACTATTAATTAGTAAAAGTTAGAGTAATTTAATATTTTGTATAATTTTATTAGTAAAATTATACAAAATCTTAAATTACTCAAAATGCCATTAATTAATAATACTTTTGTATAATAAGTAAATTTGTTCAAAATTTAAAAATACATTTATATACTTCAAACTTCAAATATATTTGCAAACTTTCAAACCAAACCCAAATCAAACTTAAAATTAAATTTGAGTTTGGTTTAAGTTAATTTGAGTTTGAAATTTTGTAAAATTTTAAGTTTGAGTTTGATTTGAGTTTAGGTTTGACCGAACCCAAATCAAACTCAAGTCAAACATAGAAGCCCTAATAATAACTGAACAAATAAGTATAAGAGTTTATTTAATATTAATTCTGTCATATAGGAATCTAATTAGATAGCAGTTTCTAATTTAAAATATGAATTCTCCTGTATATTCTAGATATACAGTATACTAAATTATTTTAAAAAACTAATAACAGGCATATCAAATTGGAAAATTATAAAGATCTATAATCTGAAAGTTGCTAATTTAAAAGTTATATAGTAACAAAAAAGATGAACTGCAGTAGATATAAGTATAGCTAAATATAATAATAATAGAAGACTAAAAATCTAAATAGTAAATAAATAAAGTATATATAAACTGATATAAGAGCTTTGTTTAGAAAAAACTTCTAGGTCTGATAATTAGTTCCTAACATTATTTAAAATAGTAATAAGAAGCTAGTTATAGAGCCAGCCTAATACAGCAGATTATATCTAAACACCTATATAAAGGTAACTGGATAAATCAGGTTTTGTATTTGTATATACATAATTCTGTAATAAGTTATGTATAGTAATATATATAAATTTGCCAACAAATATCTAATAAAGTTGCTAGTAAAATCACCAATGTTTAAAAAAAAATAAAAAATACTAACAAGATGATTTTATAACCAATTTTAAATTATAAATAATTTTTAAAAAAAGCACTAATTGACTTTTTATATATTCATGTTTATACACTATATAGTGTTTAAATAAAAATTGCCTATTTAAAAATCCAATTTATATTTTTTTTTTCAACACCTATATATAATTTAAAAAATCTTGCACTATACAATTTTGTTAAAATCAATTTTATTTGGCGCTTAATATGTAATATACATTTTAATAATCAAATTTTATTACACAAAAATTAGCCAATAATAATTGATTATATAATCTTAAATTTGGGGGTTTTTAAAAAATTATTGGGTGTTTTTTCCTGTCCCGTACTGTAAATCATAGATTTAATCCTTTTCTCATCCGATAAACATTGAATGCATAAAAAGAAGTCATTATCCGGTGTTGAATGTGGAATCAATAAGTCGTTCGGTATATTTGGCTCTTGTATATCATCATCGTTGTAATTGTCCTGGCTGGTCTCATCGAACTGTAATAATTGTTGATATTTAAGAAGTTCATGAATTGTTACGCTCCTACCTTTCTCTATCTCAATATTGTTCGAAAGTGTTTTACAATTCATTTCAACTTCTTTGCGAAGAACGTGGTCAATATCAACAGCCGAAAAGAAACTAACGGACTGTATTACAAACATGTAGAATCATTATTTCTACGAAATTGGATAAAAAATTCGTAATACAGTCAACCTCTCTAAATGCATAACTTACTCTGTCCCAACTATAAGTGCAGTCAAAATCCCTATTAGTTTTAACCAAGGTTACTGGATAATAAACCAAAAACTACAATTTGATTGATTATAATTTTTTTAACCAACAAAACTCAAGAAAATAAACAATGCAGCAAGAAATTTCGATTCTGTGCAGGCATAATGTTATAGCGTAGTTGTGGTTGTAGGCGAAGATATTTAGAAGGTCAAAGTTAGCTGCTACTTTACGTAATACAAAATTCGTAATGAAGCCTTAACCGTCAATTAATTATTACTTATATAAAAGCGAGTTTAACTTAACCTTTTATGTTGTCATAATTAAATGACATAACATGCCTGCATGTAGAACCTAAATAGAAAGACCTTAATTCCTCTTTGTAAATGCGTACTTACATTATTTTGTCATATAGCCACAAATAGGATATATTTAGAGAGGTTTGACTGTATCTCAACCTACCAATGGTAAATCATTGATTCCCAACATGTAACTAAACATCGTTCTTGTCCATAAATTGCTGATTTGAAGTGCCAATGCTGCTCGGTACGTGTCACTCTCTTTTACAAGAAACCTTACCTCATCATGAACTGATAGCATAAAACGCCCATCTATCTTATATTTTTTCAATAAATACTGCATGGAGACTAGAAGCAAATGAAGGTAATCAACCCCTGATGATTGTATAACCCAATTAACTCGTGATGTCATATAGTTTTCGTCGACTACCTTTCTCTTTAAAGCGTCAGTTATGCCACATTTAAGAACTGGTGTTCGAGGTGTCTCAGCAGTTGCAATCTCTTCAAGACTATTAAACATATAGCTTTCACTACCACCGTACCAAAACGTCTTTTTAGGAAAATCATTAGCATTAATATTTTTAGTGAAGAATTTTTTGCCTTTAGTCTGGCTGTATAATTCGGTTACCCGTTCAATAGCTTCATTTTCTTCAATGTTCTCATTAAATTGTCTAAGTAATTGTGCAGAAAATTTAAGCCCTGCACCATATATCCTACCATAATTGAATACTTTCGCATCTGACCGCGAAATTTTCAAAATCTTTGCAGTTCTTGAATGTAAATCTGTTCCGGCCACCTTGTTTCCTTGAAGTGTCATCCATCCCAAAGCAGTTGCACCATGGAATCCAAATTGTGAATCACCAATCAAACTAGCTATCCATAATTCTTCGGAGTCGACGTCTGCACCAATAATTTTATATCCTTTTGGAGCTTGAATTTTCGTTTTAAGTTCGGAACCGATACGATTCTCCTTTGTATTGCTTGCTGTCATCCATGTTTTTTCTACAGCGCGACGAGTGATCGTCCCCATTGTTAAAGTCTGCGGTAAGATCATTCCAATACTTTTTCCATTATTTGAGTTAAATCCCATATCTTGAATTTCTGGATAATCGTTGTATACAACCATCTGACCCTTTATCCGTTCTCTAGAACCAATCCAATATGAACATGTCGCATTCATTTTTAATGCTGCTTTAGCCTCTTCATATTCAGAAGTCAAAATCCCTTTTTCGAAAGCGGTTATATATTGTTTCGATAATGGTGTCGCACAGCGAGCATTCTCGCCATCCTTATGTGGAATCCGGTAATATATTCCATCCATATCATTAGCGTACTGCTCCTCATGGTCTTCAGCTACAGATGCTTCCTCACTAACATCCATTGTATTTAGCTCATCTTTAAACACATTATATTGTAATTCATTTGTAAGAGATCCGTTAAGAAGTATTTTCTTATCTACTGGTTTATCGAACTTGCATGGATTTGTCTTTGTCAGATACTCATCATTTTTAGGTACTCGATACATCCACCCATATTTCTTGGAATAAAACAGTGGGTAACCCTGCCACTTTAATCTTAATAAAAGAGGTGAAATCCTATTCCTTGGTGTAATTTTTAAACTTTCTGTTCTAGAATTATAAATATTTCGATACCATTTTGGATATCCTTTAAGCTTTTTAGCACGTGGTGATGGTGTTGACCAATCTAATTGCCTTAACCATGGATTATTGTTTATCGATTGTGGATCATCTCTCCACGATTTTACTGCTGCCAATGCAAGATCTTGTAAGCTTTTTTCAATAGATTTACTCTGTTCTTGATATACAGACTCCGCTTTCTCAATATAGTGATCCCAATCTTTTGATGTTGTCAGGAACATATTACCCATACAAATCATCCCGGCAAATGTTACAGGATGGGGACAAACTTCTAAAAATCGTGGAAATACCTTTTTGAACACTGCATGTGTTGCGAATACATCACCAGCACAGTAAGATACCAGCTTTTGGAAAACTTCAGGCTTTACGATTTCATCCAAAGATCCGTTAATGAAATAATCTTTCAAACATTTGTCTAATTCTCCTTGACAATGAAATTTATATACATTTCTAAGATTGTTTATCGAACTAACATCATAGATAGCCTGAAAATCTTTGGATCTTTCCAAATAATCCTTATTATTTTCTTCAGTAGCTTTATTATACTTGATCCAGGTTGGACGCTGTTGAGTGCAGAGTCCACTTACTGCTATATGTAAAGACATGGTATCTATATAATTATTACAAGATCTATCACGATGATATTCTTCTTTTATTCGTGCACGATCGAAACCAACATTATGCCCAACTATGATCCGGTCTCTACTTATATTCCCCATAGGAATCAAATAACCCACCTCACGTTTTTTAGATATAGATTTGTGTTTTTCATCTTGATCTTTGCGTTTTAATTTGCCCATTTCATCGTTGACCAGCTCATAGGTTTTCATAATTTCATCTTCACTACTCCATTTCTCTGTATGGTGCGCTGACGAAGCGTGAACTGCGCTTCTGTGTTTAATAAGTCGTGGTGAAATCCAAGCATACCATGCTTTTGGTGAAGCAGCACATGCTATTAGCGCATAATCACTGTCACCGAGTAAAGTTTCTACATCAAAACATAAAACATCGTCTTCAGGAAAATCTACCGTTTCGGGTCGCTTGCCTTTTTCGTAACGTGTCCATCCAGATTTAAATTTCCATATTCCTTCAGGTGGGATATCGGGAAGTTCTGAGCTAGCAAAAACTTTTGCTAACTCTTTACAAGGACGTGCTTGTTTTTCACCGATGTTCCAAAAATGTTCAGCTATCGTATTTCCACACAATTTTGGTAGTTGGAAAGGAGTCAGAGGTGGAAACTTTTCCGTCTCTTTGCCCAACAGCCCTTGTTGCGCCAAATGATTTAATGCAATATTGATTCGTGTTTTTGATGGATACACGCAATTACTACGCGGGAAAACTTGTTTATAAAGCCAATTCGGCAACATTTTCTATACCAGAGAACATGTGCAATGCGTGTCTTTA